GTCTCCACTGCTGCACACAAAAGTGCATCTCCGACAACTCCTTTTGACAGCACCACCCCTGGGTCCACGACCACCGATGATAGTGCATCTTCAGCAATTCTTACGACCATTTTCCCCTCTGTAACTAGCCCTACAGGGGCTAGTGCATCTTCAGCAACAACTGTTGACAGCACCACCCCGGTCTCCACACCCACAGACAAAAGTGCATCTTCAACAACTGCTAGTGACAGCGTAACCTCCCCAACACCCTCTTCAGCAGCTACTGCATCTTCAACAACTCCTTTTGACAACACCACCCCTGTGACCACTACCACTGATGACAGTGCATCTTCCGCAATTCCTACGACCATTTCTACCTCTCTCAGTACTCCTAGCGCTGCTACTGCATCTTCGGCAACATCAGGTGACGGCACCACCCCTGTCTCCACTCCCACTGACAAAAGTGCATCTTCAACAACTGCTAGTGATAACGCAACCTCTCCAATACCCTCTTCAGAGTCTGCTGCAACTTCAACAACTCCTTTTGGCGGCACGACCCCTGGGAGCACTACCACCGATGATAGTGCATCTTCAGCAATTCCTACGACCATTTGTCTCTCTGTAACTAGCCCTACTGGAGCTAGTGCGTCTTCAGCAACTTCTGGTGACAGCACCACCCCACTTTCGACTACCACAGACAAAAGTGTATCCTCAACAACTGCTAGTGACAGCGTAACCTCTTCAACACCCCCTTCAGAAGATGCTGCAACTTCAACAACTCCCTTTGACAACAGCACCCCTGTGACCACTACCACCGATGACAGTGCATCTTCTGCAATTCCTACGACCATTTCTACTTCTCTAACAACTACTACTGAGTCTAGTGCATCTTCAACAACATCTAGTGACAGCACCACACCTGTTTTAACTTCTAGAGAGGCAATTGCATCTTCAACAACTCCTAGTGACACCAATACCCCTGAGAAAACCTCTACAGAGGCTCCAACATCTTCAACATCTTCTTCTGACATTCTAACCCCTGTGACCTCTCCCACAGAGACCAGTGCATCTCCAGCAACATCCCTTGACCTCTCCACCCCTGTTACAACTTCTACAGAGGCTACTGCATCTTCAAAAACCTCTAGTGACACCAACACCCCTGAAACTACCCCTACAGAAGCTAGTGCATCATCAACAACTCCTAGTGACATTACCACCCCTACAACAACTTCTACAGAGGCTACAGCATCAACAGCTTCTTCTGACATCTTCACCCCTGTGACCACTGCCACAGGGGCTAGTGCATCTTCAACAATATCTAGTGACAGCACCAGTTCTGCTCCCACTTCTCCAGAGGATACTGCATCGTCAACTCCCGGTGACATCACCACCCGTACAACAACCTCTACAGGTGCTACAGGATCTTCAACATCTTCTTCTGACATGCTAACCCGTGTGACCACTCCCACAGAGGCGAGTGTATCTTCAGCAACATCTAGTGACGTTACCACACCTGTTGTAGCTTCTACAGAGGCTACTGCATCTTCAACAACACCTAGTGACATCACCACCCCTACAAAATTCTCTACAGAGGCAACAGCATCTTTGACATCTTCTTCTGACATTGTAACCCCTGTGGCCACTCCCACAGAGACCAGTGCATCTTCAGCAACATCTAGTGACAGCACCACCCCTGGTATTACTTCTACAGAGTCTACTGCATCTCCAACCACTCCTAGTGTCAGCACCACCACTGCAACAACCTCTACAGAGGCTAGTGCATCTTCAGCCACTCCTTCTGACAACCCCACCCCTTTGACCACCCCCACAGAGGCTAGTGTATCTTCCTCCATTCCTACAGGCATTGTCACCCCTGTGACTACTCCTACAGAGGCTAGTGCATCTTCAATAACTCCTAATGACGGCACCCGCCCTGTGACCGTGACTGCAGAGGCTAGTGCATTATCAACATCTAGTAACATCAAGACTCCTGTGACAACTCCTTCTCAGACTAGTGCATCTTCAAGAACTCCTAGTGATATCACCACCCCTGCGTCAACTTCTACAGGAGCTACTCTATCTTCTACAAATCTGAGTGACACCAACACCCCTGTGACAACCTCTACAGAGGGTCATACATCAGAAGCCAGCACAATTTCAATGACTACTTCTCACGACACCTCACCTGTGTCTACCCCAGGTCATTCCAGCCCTGCAACGACTTCTGCCTCCTCCACCTCTGTGACTTCTGACATTGTAACTACCACAACTGTCATCACTTCAACAGCCAGGGGGGAACCTATCACGCTGAGCACTACCTCCACCACAGCCACCACTGTCTCCACTAGCTCCTCCACTGTTACAATGGGAAGAACCACCCCCACCACTCCTAGTGCTCCAACAACCACACCAAGTAAGCAATTCTTGACTTCTCCTTTTGAAACTTACATTTCCTTTCAATTTTCTCCCTTTGCGGTTTTCGTCTTAAATTTTTACTCATCACACTCTTCTTTTGCTCCTCCTTGTTTTCCGTTAGACAAAACCTCTGCAGTCCTGTCATCCTAGCACCTACTTCTCTGCCGCCTCTTGCTGTTTGTTGCACTCATTTGTACAACACATTTTACCTCTTTTTTCCTGGGCACCTTCGATCCTTGGTAAAGTGTCCACACATCCCATTCCCTCCCTTTTGTACTCTGCAAGTCTCTTTCCCATTGCGTTTTTATACCATAATTTCACTAACTTTGTTTTTTGGTTTTTTATTTGCATTTTCACATCTTTCTAATGGTTTTTCTTATTGATTTTGCTCAGGCTTAAGTGCTAAGATTATTATTTGGGTGGGGGGGTGGAGGAGGAGGATGTTGCCAATAGTATTCACAGGTAACTTTGGCAAATATCTCTCTGCCACCATTCACTTTTATTTTCTTTTTTCTTATCCTCTGAGCATCCACCATACAGGCAAAAGAAAGTTCACTTCTTTTTTTTTTTTTTTTTTTTTTTTGGTGAGGAAGATCAGCCCTGAGCTAACATTCATGTTAATCCTCCTCTTTTTGCTGAGGAAGACTGGCTCTGAGCTAACATCTATTACCAATTCTCCACCTTTTTTTTCCCCAAAGCCTCGGTAGATAGTTGTATGTTATAGTTGCACATCCTTCTAGTTGCTGTATGGGGGACGTGGCCTAAGCATGGTTGGAGATGTGGTGCGTCGGTGCGTGCCCGGGATCCGAACCCGAGCCGCCAGTAGCGGAGCGCGAGCACTCAACCGCTAAGCCACGGGACTGGCCCAGAAAGTTCACTTCTGTCAGCTCTGAACTCTACCTCCACACCCTTGAGTGTTTCTCTATCTTTATGCCTCCCTGTCTTTTCTCTGACTCTGGAGCTTTCAGCACTCTTCACTCTGGTTAAGATGAGACCTACCCCACTCTACACCTACTGTTATAACATACCAATATATTGTATGTAATATACAATATATATTATAACATACCATTATACCTGTGAGTATTATTCTCAGATTGAGAGAGGATATTTGGCATGCATTAAAGAAAGTATACTAGTTAAAATACTTGAAAACATGTACTGATTCAGATGAACTATAGACACGCCTCTCAGAAACAGGCTCTGTGTCTGCAGGGTGCTGCCCAGTCCCGTCTTGAACTGACGAAGGTGAGGGGTGCTTCTTCAGCTTTTGGCTACTGTATTTTCTCAGGGCTCTGTGATTGCTTCCTCTGTTGAGCTCTGCTTTGCCTGGCCTTTGTATTATGTGGCTTCATTCTCTGGCTTCTCTCCAATGTGTCTTTGTCTCGTTGAGCTTTCTAGTTCTCAGATGGGGAGTTGAGCATCTTCAGAGGGGATGTCTGGAACTTGTGTTCCCAAGAAGCCCCACAGGTGTCTCACAGTGAATGCCAGGTGGTTGCATGACTGCCGGGCCCACAACAGGTGCTCTCCTCTCTGAAGGCAGATGGTCCCCCTCCATCTTCCTCCTATCCACTGGACGTTGGCCTTCCCTGTAGACTGTTGGGCAACAGGTGAGCAAACCTCAGCAGCAGCTTTTTGCTGCTACTCACAAACCTGTTCTTGGGCACTTAAATCAGGTCTGAGCATCTTCAGTAATACACAACAGAGACAGAAAGAGAGAGAGGACGATTTAGGATTTATGGGTCTCCAGTGTGCCCAGGACTCTACTCTTGACTCATCTCTTCCATTCTTCCTGACTCTCTTGGACCAAAGGCCTGTAAACAGAGGCTGCGTAATGTGACTGTCATGGCTGTGGCACCCGCTCTGTGAGTCTGGTGGGGGTAAACTAGGGGGCAGAGGTGGGGCAGGTCTTTATAGAGTATATGTGCACTTCACGTGCCTCTCCAGAGAACATACACCTGGAATACTGGTGTGCACAGGCACAGCTGTTTTCAAGAAAATCCAAAGAGAACAGAGCTTTATGTTTTCCAGACTCCTTGGCATAAATATTCGAGGCTGTCTTGAACCACTTCCTATCTATTTAAACTAAGTCTATACTCCTCCCTCAAACTCTACATCCCAGCTAATAAAAAAGGAATCATGAACAGTCACAATGGTAATGATTTCTGGTACGAGCTCTTCTGAGGCAGGCATGGAAGGGACAATGATGTGCTCATTCCCAGATTGGTGGAATTGCGATGGGTCAAGTCGCCTTGGGTTCTTAAGGTCTCTATCTCCCCTTTTCTCTTCCTCCGCCTTGTCCATGTTGTGCCCCACCTCTCACAACACCAGGGTTCTCTTTCCTCATTTTAGGGCCTGAAGTAAAGTATGCTGGCATAGGACTCCAAGACCAGGTCAAGTCTGGCTTCCAAGTGGAACCTTGGGCGAGTCTTTTAGCTTCTCTCCACCTGGCTTCTCTCATCTGTAAAGTGGGGATGATACTGACTGTCCTGCCTACCCCAGGGTCTCATGAGAGTATCAAATTAGACAGTGTCTGTGAAAATATGTTGAAAGATGTAAAGTGCTGTGCAAATATGTGTGGTTGAGTGGGGCCTTGTCCCTTTCAGAGACCTGCCTCAACGGGGGGACATGGAACGGAAAGACCTGTGAATGCCGCACCGGCTTTGGAGGAGATCAGTGCCAGAACGAGGTCCCGATCTGCCATAACAATGGCTCCTGGGATGGGATCAAGTGTGTGTGCACCAGCCTGTACAGCGGGCCAAAGTGTGAGGAGGTGGTCTCAAATCTTGAGATAAGTGAGTAAGAGCGCAGCGTCCTCTCCTCCCCACCCCTGGGCCCGGTCTCCATGCTGGGCACTCATTCCTGCCCTTCCTCAGCGTGTGGCCAGGAGTATGGCCTCTTCCGGGGCAACCATTTTACCCATAGGTAAGAAAGGTAAAACGTTTAAAAAATGAATAAAGCAAGAAAATATAGTTTGGAACAAAATATGGATTTGGCACAAAATTTTACCATAAAATACACTTAAAATAAATGAGTATATGATGGAGCAGAATACAAAATGTGTGGTGGAATTCTCTAGGAGAATATAAGACCCATGGTCCTTTGGGCTCCACCCAAAGCCAGGAGGAGTACAGTGTACCCCCCCGCCCTCGGGGGCGCTCTGGTGAGACCTGACTGGAGGTTGGGAGGGACCTGGGCCACTCGTTTTCCCAGAACAGAACTGCTAGAGGTGGGGGTCTCTATGGTAGGGAACTCAGGGGGTGCTGCCTCAGTGAGTGATGCTGCTGTCTGCCCCCTCAGATCCTCCACCGGAGACCGTCTCTGCCCAGGTAGAACTGACCGTGACAGTGACCAATAAGGAGTTCTCCAAAGAGCTAGAAGACCGGTCTTCTCAGGAGTTCCGGGAGTTCAGTGAGACATTCACAAAACAGGTGAGCCTGGGAGAGCAAGTCTCCATGGCCACTTGGCTCTCCCCAGGGAGGAGTCCCTAGGGGCTAAGAAAGCAGTTGAGAGCCCTTCTCATGTTAGGGGTGTATGAGTTTCTCAGCTCACTCATTTCCTCAGGGCTTGCCAAGAAGGGAGGGAAAACAAAGCAAGGTTCCATTTGGGGGCTGCCAGGGGTCCCAGAGACAGGGCTGGTCTCTGTGAAGGGACTACTTCATCTGGACAGTGTGCCACTGCCAGCTGGGATGGGGACTGGCAGATGCTGCAGGTCCATCCTCCACCCTCCTGAGATTCTACAGAAAGGCCTGGTGGCCCCGAGGTGGGGACTCTGGGGTAACACAGTGGCCCCTTGTCTTTCAGATGGAAATTGTTTATTCTGGAATCCCTCAGTATGAAGGGGTCAACATCACAAGGCTGAGGTGAGTATCTGGGGCTCCAGATACAAAGAAGAAGGTCTTTGGAGTGGAAGCAGTAGTCATAAAGACAACTGTAACTCTGCCTCCTGTACTCACCTGCTCGGGCTGCCGTAACAAAACAGCACAGACTGGCAGCTTAAACAACAGTCATTTATTTCTCACGGTTCTGGAAGCTGGAGTCCAAGATCAAGGTGTCAGCAGGTTTGGTTTCTTCTGAGGTCTCTCTCCTTGGCTTGCAGACAACCACCAACCTTTTCACTGTGTCCTCACAGGGTCTTTCCTCTGTTCACGTGTACCCCTGGTGTGTCTTTGTGTGAACAAATTTGCTCTTCATATAAGGACACCGGTCAGATTGGATTAGGGCCCACTCTAATGGCCTCATTTTTACATAATCACCTCTGTCAAGGCCCTACCTCCAAATACAGTCACATTCTGAGGTACTGGGGGTTGGGGCTTCAACATACGAATTTTGGGGAACACAATTCAGCCCATAACAACCCTCCAACAATTATAGTTTCACGTACATTTTCCAACTGGAAGCTCGTAACTACCCTGAGTGAGGCCAGTAGGACTGTTCCCACCGTACAGCTGAGGAAACTGAAGCTTAGAGAGTGCAGTGAGTTGCCTGAGGGGTCATTTCTGGAGTGGTAGAGCCAACACTCAAGCAGAAGTCCACTTGTGCTGGCAACACCCACACACCAGAACACCTGGAGGCTACGGCTGCTGTGATGGTCACTCCATTAGACTTTAGTGATGAAGCCAAATAGCTTGCGAAATTCACAGCTGTTTTGTATTCCACTCACCTAGGATAGGATTCCACCCCCACAGAATCTTTGCCCAGTTATTTCCCCAACTTGATGAAACCCTTTGAATGGTACTGGCCAACCAGGCTTCCATGGGCCCCCAGCCTCCTCTGGATCATGAGGAAGACATCCTTTCTCATGGTTTACAAAGTTGCCATTGATAATTTTCAAAAGAAAATTATTACAACCAATAGGGAAAAAAATGCACAAAAAGCACAGAAAGAAAAAAGTGTTTACCAGCCTCTGTCTCTCTTCCTCCCTTAATTCGAACACGAAAGTTTCTCTCCCTAATGAAAGGTGGGACCAGGTGGGGTTCCCAAGGCCCCCCCCAGCTTGCCTTCACAGCAGGTGCCTGGGTCGCCCCGGAGCGGGCAGGGCACTGCTTGCTGCTCTTGAGCAGCTCAGCTCCCCTGGGAGAGAAAAGCATTTTCCTTTCTGGCCCTAAAGCTCCTCTCCAGGACTGGCGTGTGCTGACCCCATGTGGCTCTCTTTTTGCCCCTCGGGGAGTCTGTAGGGCCAGTCCTTATCCTTCCTCTCTGCCTGTCCCTCTCTGTCTCTCAGGCGAGAGAGGGAGGACGGGCTCTGTGGACCAGGTGCAGAGCCAGCATCTTTCCATTCCTGGTCCCCGCCGTCCACCCGAAGGCGTCCCTGGGTACTTCTCCCCGGGCAGATAGGAGGAGAGAGCTGGGCTCTGAGGGCTCCGGGAAAGCATGCCACAGGAAAGTGGTTCTTGCTCAGAGAGTGGCTCCAGAGAGGTCTGGGAGAGGGCAGATAAAAGGTGAGAATCACCCACTTTGAAAGCGTGGAAGGAAGAACCCTGGGAACCACCTGTCCAGTCCAACCCTTCATTTTATAGACGAGGGAACTGAGACCCTGCGAGGCCAAGTGGCTGGTCCAAGGTCACACTGCTACTTAGGGCCAGTGTCAGGACTTCATCCCTCATCTCCTAACTCCCACTACACCTGCACGGCGTCGGTAAAGCTCCGTTTCTCCACGGGAGATCTAAACATGGGGTTGAGGACTGTGATAGAGCCTGGGAGATGCCTGAGGCCACCACCAAGCAGGCTTCTTGGGATGGCTGCATCCTCATGGTGAAAGACAGCCTTGAACTAGATCTCCTGGTCCCTGCTACCTCTAATGTTATTCTGAGTTATTCTAATTCTAGTATTCTATATGTTATATTAAATACTATTATATTATATAATTCTATTATTCTACATGTTATTCTAATCCTAATGTTATCCTATGAGTATCCCTCCAAATCTGCTATTCATATTTAGGCCTCTGAATATAGCATTAAGGATAATGCAAGGGGAAGAGAGTGCTGTTGACTTCCAGCACCTAGGAATCTTGGATTGGGACCTTGAGTATGCTAGACTTGTTACTGTATTTTTAAACCCAGAAAGGACTTGTTCCTGGGGTGCAAATAATCCCTATACCACGAGAGAGAAGTAATTTGCATTCTGGAATAAGAACTTGTTGATTTAAAAGCATTTCTGATTCTTTTTTGCACACGCGGGGGGTGACTGCTCTGACTGAGGATGCGGAGTTAGGGAGGAGAGAGGAAGCAGAGGGACGCTGTGAAATCGTCCGAGGCCACGCTCACTTGGTAGCCTGACCCCTGACTTCTCCTGGCTCTTAAACATCGAGTAGCGAAAGACTTTTGACTGAAATTTTAACTTTTTAGGTGTCAGAGACTCCTTTTAGAATTGACAAAAATGTGTGTGAGTAGAATATATGTACATATGCACCTTTAGATTTTTCATACAATCTTAGGAGGCTCACAGTCTGAGCTACCTACCAATTCGTGAATCCCATAAGAGTCCCTGGTGTCACCTCCAACCCTTTAAGGACACCTTGCCGGCAGCTGCCTAGTCTCCTACTTGAATACATCTAATGGTACCTTAAGGATGACCTCTTCCATGGTCCCATCCCTCTGTCCATCTTCGTCCCTGAGCCTTCCCTGAGACTTCCACACAGGGCTGCCCAGAGCCTTCCCTTGGTAGACGGTTTTCTTAGGCTCAGGTTGCCATATAAGTACTATGGTGAAGCACCTAGCAAGCTGCCTGGAATAAGCCTTCGCCCAGCAAACACTGGGTCATCATTTTCAACTGTCCTCCCCTAGATCTGCCTTCCCGTGGGAGCAGGAAGGCGCAGCCTACCTGGGGAAGGGGTTGGAGAGGTGAGCATCCATTACGACCCTAAGGACATCTTCCCCTCTCTCCTCAGTGCTGGCAGTGTGAAGGTGGAGCATGACGTCATCCTGAAGGCCAACTTCACCCCAGATTACAAAGAAGTTTTGGAGAAGGCCACCCAGGAGGTGGAGTCAAAAATCAAGAATACAACCCAAGAACACATCTTAAGAAATAACACCTGCGGAGGTAAATTCCTAGGCTTCTGGGGAGGAGCATGAGGGGGTCTTCAAAGAATCTTCAAGCTTTGTCATCGCTGGGGTAGGGGAGGGGAGAAAGGCTGTTGGGGGCAGCAGGAGAGCATTGAGAGCCCAGGAATCCGTCCCCAAGCTTGTCACTCAGACTGGCAGATTCCAAGAAAGGTTTTGAAAGGAGAGTGCAGAGGCTGGTGTACAAGCAGGCTAAAACCCGTGGGTGCCAGAGTCTGCAGGAAAATGAGGACCAGTGAGACTTATTACACAAAGTAGATGCTTCTCCATGTATGGAGAGGTGTGAGGGTCTTGGCAGAGGTGGGTATGGGAGAAGGCCCCAGGGGAGGCACAGGACACCAGAGGATCATCGTTCTGGAGAGCCGGATGTGAGGCTGGCATTCCTCCTCTGCAAGGATGGGCTTCCCACCTCCCCTCATCACAGCCCCACGCCCACCCTTCACACACACCTAAGCCACCCCCCCCACCCCCCCCCACCCCCGCGAAACAAGCTTTTAATAGGCTTCATGTGTCTCCTTCACAGTGGTACTGTGTTTCAACTCAACTGCAACCAAAGTGCAAAACATTTCATTTACCCAATACGACCCTGAAGGTAGGTGCCTGGAAGGAATTCGGGGAGGGCGCAGGAGGCGGGCAGCACTCCCAGCCTCCTGATCACAGCCGCTCCTCCGTGCCCCCTCAGCGGAATGCCGGGAGAAGGCTGGGGAAGCATTTGCTGACTACTTCTTCGTGGAGTACACGGACCAGCAACCAAACTGCATCACGCGTTGCGAGCCCGGCTACAACACGTCCTTAAACTGCATCTTCGGGAAGTGCCAGCTGTGGGGCAGTGGCCCTCGGTGCTAGTGAGTGTCGCACGTCCTACCCCAGCCCGGATGTTCTTCTCCCCGCCCCGGGAGCCCCGCCCCTCGAAACTCTGCCTGGAGGCCAAGGTGATGGAGTCAGTCCCAGCCTTTCCCAAATGCAGCTAGCCACAAAGGACACGCGTGGCCAAAGCCCCAAAGCCAGGTCCAGAACGGCAGAGGTGGCTCAGTAGCTGCCCTCCCCTCCCCGGGATTTGTGCCGAGCGAGGCTGAGGACCATGCCTATCTCTGAGGAAGGAGAAGGAAGGCCCCAGCCTCGGAAAACTGCTAGTCAGGCCGGGACGACAGGGCCTTGATCCCAGGGAGAGATCAACGCCCCCTGCTGGTGAAATGGGGAAAGATCACACACCTTCGTAGGGAGGGTGGCGAGCCTGTAAAAGCCGAGTCACAGGAGCAGGAAAGCAAAGGGAGGCGTTGCCCGCTGAGACTAAACCAGGGAGAGACCAGCTGGAGCACCAGGCAGGGAGGAGGAGTCACACACAGGCGAAGGCCTGAGCAGTTGTTCTGGGAAGGCTTCCTGGAAGAGGAGTTCACAAGCTGGCACGAGGAGGAAAGAGACAGGGCTTAGAAAGGGCGTCTCTAGGGAAGAGGAGGAGCTGCAGAGGTAGAGTGCACCCTGGATCAGGGATGGTGGAGTGTGTCTCTTGATAGAGAGGGGCTGAAAATGAGGATGGTTAATATGTGGGTGAAAGAGTCGTGGTCGGGGTCTTTAGTTCCTGGGTGCAGCCCAGGCAAGCCCCAGAGTTGGGCCAACTGTTCTAGGTCTTGGGCTGCAAAACCTAAAGCCTAGTGCTGGGGATTGGGCCTATTGAAGGCCCATCCCATGGAAACTGGACTTCCTCTCTGTTTATCCCCATGGGGCTCCTTGCTCTGCACCCTGGCGAACTCTTCTTACCCTCTCCTCGTTAAGCACCCATGGGGTCGGGATTGGTCCTGAAGCTGGGAGGCTGTGGGCACTGGCTGGCCCTGAGTGTGGGTGGCTCCCTCTCCCCACCTGACTCCTCTCTCCATCTCAGCTGCCTGATCACAGAGACTGAATGGTACAGTGGGGAGACCTGTGAGTTCAGCACCAAGAAAAGCCTGGTGTACGGGCTCCTGGGGGCAGCAGGTGCAGTGGTGCTGGTCATCCTCGGCATCCTCCTGATGTTCATATTCCGCTCCAAGAGACAGGTGAAAAGGTGAACCACTGCCACCCCCTCTTCCTCATGCCTCCAGCTCCTCCTCCTTTTCTCATCCATCCGTCTTCAATCATTCCATCCTCGGGATGGAAGTAGGGGAGCTGAAAGCAGGGACATAGCCAGTCCCCAGGTCCTTGTCCCCTTCCCTGCTCTTAACAGGGTCTCTCTGGTGTTTCTATCAACAGGCAAAAGTCCAAAGTGACTCAGTTGTACAAGTGGCATGAAGAGGATGGTGGACCAGCCCCTGGGACCTTCCAAAACATTGGCTTTGACATCTGTGAAGGTAATAGAAATCCTCAATGGACTTGAAGTGTCTCAAAGTGTGGAGACACACATGAGGGCACCTGGGAGGACACTGGGGCTTGAAGGAGCAAAGGGGAAAAGCATTTCAATCTCAAAACTTTTGGTTCCACATCTGCAACCCTATTTCCACCGCTGGCTCCTGCAAGGCCCCAGATGGGGTGTAAGCATGGGCACAGCTTAACTAGACCACTGGGGAGGTACAGGTTGCTTGATAGTTGTAGATTTCTCCAGGACACAAAACTGTGCCTATGTGGACACAGATTAGCGCCTAGGAGTGGGTGAGTTCATTGACAGTGAGTTATAGCTCAGTAAAGTAATTAACTGTAGATTTTGTTAGGTTAAATGTACATGTTGAAATGTCTAGAAATCAAGTTTTTAAATTCTAAAGAAGGAAAAAATGGAATGAAACCATTTCTAGAAATAGTCTTTAAATTCTAAAGAAGGGGAAAATTGGAATGAGGAAAACATTTTAGTCAATCCACAAACAAGGCAAGAAAGGAGAATAAATGAAAACAAAAGAGTATGACGAATAGGAAGCACAAGTAAGATGGTAGCAAATAATCCACCATATCGATAACTACAATAAATGTAAATGGGTTAAACACACCAGCTAAAAGAATGGGTTTTTAAAAACACCAGCTATTGGGGTTGGCCCTGTGGCATAGCGGGTGGGTGTGCGCGCTCCGCTGCTGGCGGCCCGGAGTTCGGATCCTGGGCGCGCACCAATGCATCGCTTGTCAGACCATGCTGTGGTGGCATCCCACATAAAGTTGAGGAAGATCGGCACAGGTGTTGGCTCGGGGCCGGTCTTCCTCAGCAAAAAGAGGAGGATTGGCATGGATGTTAGCTCAGGGCTGATCTTCCTCAAAAAAACAAAAAAAAAAACAAAAAAACCTCCAGCTATTCACTGTGGATGAAAGGCATGTGTAGAATAGGAGCACGGAGAAAGGATGAAAGCAAAGCATGAAAAAAGACAAAGCAGAGAAATACTAACCCAAACAGCAGTGTTCTCTATATAGCTGTATTCATTGCAGGCAAATAAACTTGAAGGCAAAAAGAATTCCTAGAGATACTTTGTTAAGAGAATATAACAAGTCTAACTTGTGTGCCGTATAGATACAGCTTCAAAATATATAAAGCAACATTGACAAAACTACAAGGAAAAATTGATGAATCCACCAACATGGTGGGAGATTATTAAAATATTTCTCTTAGTAATTGATTGATCAAGCAGACAAAAAGTCATCACAGTATAGAACTTTGATGCAAAATAATTAGCAACCTTAATATAAGTGTCATAGACAGACTGCATTCAACAACTGGAGGGTACACATTCATTAAAAGAGCTTACAGAAAACTAAGAATCACCACACATAAAGCCATAGAAAGTCTCAACAAATTTCAAAAAAATTATTTAAATCAAACTACATTATCTGACCACAATGCAAGAGAGTTAGAAATCAATAATAAAAATATTTCTGAAAAACAAAAATCCTTTATCTTTGGAAAATTTTTTAAAAGTTTCTAAATAACTCATGTACCAAATAAGAAATCATAACGGAAGTTGGAAAATACTTGGATCTGAATGATAATGAAAATACTTGGTATGAAAACTTGTGGGATGCAGCTGCAACTGTGCTTAGAAGAAAACTTATAGCCTTAAAATGCTTTTATGGAGGGAAGAAAAGAAAGATTGGAAATTATTGGGCTAGTTTTTCAACTTTAGAAGTTAGGAAAAGAGGGCTGGCCCCGTGGCTTAGCGGTTAGGTGCACCCGTTCTGCTGCTGGCAGCCCGGGTTCGGATCCCGGGCGCACACCAACGCACCGCTTCTCCGGCTGTGCTGGGGCCGCGTCCCACATACAGCAACTGGAAGGATGTGCAGCTGTGACATACAACTATCTACTGGGGGTTTGGGGAAAAAAATAAATAAATAAAATTATTAAAAAAAAGAAGTTAGGAAAAGAACAACACAATAACTTCAAAGAATGCAGATGCAAAAATAAAGAGCAGAAATCAACAAACTAGAAAGCAGAAATACAATAGAAAGTGTCAATAAATCAAAAGTTGGTCATTTGAAAAGATGAATGAAATTGACTAATTTCTGCTTAAGATTGTTGAAGAGTAAAGGGTGAAGGTATAAATAGTGTCAAGAATGAGTAAGGGAACGTCACTGTGACTGTAGCAGTTATTTAAAAGATGATAAGAGACTATTATGAACATCTTCCAACCAATAAATCCATAAACTTAGGCAAAATTCTGAAAACCAGAATGGTGCTAAAACTGTTTTTCAAAATGAATCAGGCTCAGATGGTTTTACAAGTGAGTTCTACCAAATATTCACAGAGCAGAGATTGATCATCTTATACAAACTCATTCAGGAACTGGAAAAAAGGGAATTCTCTCCCATTCACGTTATGAGCCTACGTTTATAGCCAAGCCGGACAAAGACAGTACAAGAAAGTAAATTTAAAGACCAAACCCACTTGTGAACATAGATACAAAGATCCTAAACAAAAAATTAGCATGCCAAATCCAGCAGGTATAAAAATCATGACTAGTCAGGTTTATTCTAGAAAAGAGGGCTAGCTCAAGATTAGAAATCTATTTATAAATTCACCACATTACCAGAATAAGAGGAAAAATAGAATCACTTCAATGGATGTGAAATAAGACATCTAATAAAAATCCCTATCTGCTCATTATAAAAACTCAACCAATTAGGAATAGAAGAGAAATTCCATTTCCTGGTAAAGGTCTCCACGTAAACACATAAAAATCATTCTCAATGATAAAACATTAAAAGTCATTCCATTTAACCAGGAGTTGGTAAACTTTTTCTACAAAAGACCAGATAGTGTGTTTCAGGCTTTGCAGGCAATGTGATCTCACTCTGTCACAGCTACTCAACTCTGCTGATGAAAGCAGCAATACACAATACATAAATGAATGAATGAGTGTGATTGCATTCAATGAAACTTTGTCAACCACTTAAAAATGTGACAAGAAAATTCTTAGCTTGTGGGCCATGTAAAAATAGATGTCAGGCTGGATTTGGCTCACAGGCCATAGTTTGCCAGCCCCTGCGTGGAACCAGGAGCAAGTCACAGATGCTCTATCACTAATTCTATTAATCCTTGTCCCGGGTGTCCTAATCATCATAATAAAAAAGAAAAAGAAATAAAGGGCTTAAAGGTTGAAAAGGAAAATATAAATCTGTCATTTGCTGATGATATGGTTGTCTTACACAGAAAACCCAGAAGAATGTTAATCACTAGATGTAGTAGAATTTATCAAAGTTGCCAGATATAAGATCAATTCTGATAAGATCAATTGCATTTCTACACATCAGCAACAAACAGATCATTTAATTTAAAATACCCCTTATACAGCAACAAATTTATACAGTATCTAGGAATATATCCAACAAAATTTGTTTAAGACTTTTCAGTGGAAAATGATAAAACTTTATTTAAAAACATTGTAGAAACCCTAAATGAAAGAAAAGCCATATTCCGTAAATTGAGGCACTCTATATCCCAAAGCCGTCAAATGGTACCCTCAATCCAGGCCAAATCTCAACGGGCTTTTCGTGAACCTGAGAAGCTACTTGCAAAGCACTTGTGGTTTTTCTCTGTTTGTTCAATTTTTAAATGTGATTTTCACATCTGAGAACCAATCAAATCATTTGCTAAGGTAGCCTGTCATGTTTGCAAGTCTTCAGTTTCCTGGGAAGTGAGGATGCACCTCTCGCCCTGCAGTGGGTGGGATTAGAGGGAGAGGCAAGAACATGTCTTCCTAACCATCTGCTTCCGTGGGGTTTTCTCTCTATCTAGAACAAGAGAACTATGTCCACCTGGACTCCGTCTATAGTAACTTCCAGCCCTCCCTGGGCCACATAGACTCTGAAACCAAGGTAAGAGGGGCATGGATGAGATGCTCACCTCCCCTTGCCCTGAGATCCCATCTCGCCTCCTTCCATGGTAGAATCTTCAGGAAAGCAAAGTCATGTTTATGGTTTGTTAGTCCAGGTGATCATCCAGCCTGCATTGCTGGGAAATGGACATAACTCAGGGTAGCAGCAGGTGGGGGAGAAGGAGAGCTAGGCAGCAAAGTGGGATCTACCATCCCTGGACCCCTGAGGTTTCAGGCTCAGAGGTTTCCTTTTCCACTTTAAATATGTCCTTAGTGGCCAATTTATTTAGTTATTTTAATTTTCAAAGTCACACAAAAGTCAAAATAATAGTGCAGTAAATAATTATATACCCTAGCTAGAGCAACAACGTTTAACATGTTACTGTATTTTCATTATATATACATATACATAATTCATTTCATTATATATATATAATGAAAATGGGGAGTATATATATGTGTGTATATACACACACATATATATACTCCCAAAGTTTTGCTGAGCCATGGAAGTCAGTTGCAAACATTATGACACTTGATCCCTAAACACTTCAGCACACTCCTCCAAATACCACTATCATGCCCAATGATTTGATAATAATTCCCCAATATCATCCAATATCCATTTTTCCAATTAACCCAAGAACATCTCTTATTATTAGTTTTTTCGGACGTGAATACAACAAATTTCACTCACTGACTTTTGTTGTGTCTCTTTGGTCTTTTAATCTAGAACTGACTCCTGCCTTTTTAATACGTTGATTTTTTAAAAAGAGTCTAGGATGGTTGTCTTAAGGAATGTCCCACATTCTGGACTCATCTAATTATTTCTGCATGGTGTCGTTTAACTTGTCTCTCAATGCTCTGTGTTTCCTGTAAACTGGCAGTTACGTCTAGAGGCTCGATTAGACTCAACTTAAACATTTTTGTTAAGCGTACATCATAGATAACGTTATTGCATCACCTCAAGAAGTACGTAATGTCAGGTTATCTCACTATGATTGAGGCCAAAATTCATCACTCGGCAAGGGGTGACCACTCCTTGATTACCACTTTAATTTTATTTCAACTGGATGGTATTTGAGGGCGGAAGAAACACTCTCAAAGTATTCACACCTCAGAAGAAATGTAACTGGCTTCAGGCACTGTGCTCCCTAGAGAGAACCTTGGGGCAAAGATGAACTCCCTAGCCAGGATACCTTTACACCTACCTAACTTGGGGGTGAAGGAGGGGGGAGACACAGCTGTTTTGTGCTAGACTTTAGGCAATAGGATAAGTTCTAAGCTGAGCACTTCCCCAGTCCCAAGACTCTTATGCTTCCAAATCCTGGGTTCCTCATGAGCCCAGCCCTCACCTGGTTCTCTCTCTCTTTCCAGATCAGAATTAAGAGGCCTCAGGTGATCATGACATCGATTTAAGGCAAAGGCAGTTTCGCATGAAGCCGTGGGGTCTGAGAGTGAGGAGACCTCAGTTTGACTAAGCTTGATGGAGCATTTCCCCATTGAGAGCATTCCACAGGAAACCGATGAGAAACAATACCTACCTGCACTTACCTAGCAGGAAAAGGAGAGAGACCACAATGCTGGGAAACTCTCAAATAAAAACACCATGGAGGCTCTGATGGGCTTGTCATGATCTCAGGCGAGGTCCACTGGCTCGTTCCAGGGAGATTTTTCCTCCTGCCTGACTGCTTCAGCACCAAGGACAGCGCCCCAATCAACTCGTTTACCAGGAGGTAGCTTACACTGGACTGAACTTGATACAAAATGCTGTTATAAGATTTATTGCATCCCATCTTCATGACAAACATGTGTTTTTAAATATATAGCATTTTTCTTTGAGTATATAGGATTATGGATGTTTTTAAAGTTTTTTAATCTACAGGGTCTGATTTTTCGTTAGTCAATATAATCATATATATATAATATATACAAATAAATACTATATATGTATCTAATAACTAAAAACAGCAAAAGCAATTTCACTAAGTTTTCAGGGGTCCCAGACCTTTCTGTGTCGATGCCCTATACTATCTCCTGATTCTCACCTGCCAAGCTGTCTCTCCCAGTCTCCTCCGGGATGGAGGCTCTGATGAGTTTGGCCTCACGATGACAAGTAAAACTGCAGCCAGGAAGAGCGCCATCTCCTGACATTCCCCAGCAGCACTTGTTGGCCACTGAGGATGCTGTGAGGCCAGACCCGCACACACTCACTCGCTTACTCGCACGATACAGGGACTCACTTTCTATGAGGAGAGAATCAAGTTCTCCTTCTGGAAATGGGCTCATGTTTCTTTCTTTAGCTCTGAAGAGATGCAGTCCTGGGTTCTATTTCCAGCTTTTTCATCAACTCCCTGAGTTTAATTTGGAAAAAATCATATTTGACCATTTGGATTCAGGCTTGCCTTCTGCGGAATAAGGATTAGGTTGTTTATGAAGTCCCCCTCATCACTGTCATCTTTAACATTTTCAGGGTACTTTGTTATGATTCCTGCCATGCAGCTCAGGATTCATTTTGTTCTGGAAGGTGTCTGCCACAGGCCACCCCACTTAAACCTTAACCTAAGAGCGAGCCTAGGCTCTGCTGCCCCCTCGTGGACGCTTGGAGCATCTGCAGACACCGTTCAGCTTCTCACAGCCATTCCCTCCTGGCCTCCCCCATGAGAGATCTTTAGTCTTCACCCGGTTCATTCTCATATTTGACATCAAAATCCTCAGTTCCTAAACCTGGCTGTCTTAGTACGTTCGGGATGATATAACATAATTCCATAGACTGGGGGGCTTGTAAACAAGTGACATTTATTTCTCACAGTCTGGAGGCTGTAAGCCCAAGATCCAGGCGCCAGCAGATTCCATGTCTGGAGACAGCCTGCTTCCTGGTTCATAGACAGCTGTCTTTTCTGTGTCCTCATAGGCAGAAAGGGTGAGGGAGCTCTCTGGGGCCTCTTTTATAAGGACACTAATCCCATTCAGGACAGCTCCGCCCTCATGACCAGTCACCTCCCAAAAGCCCCACCTCCTAACACCATCGCCTTGGGGGTTGGGATGTCAACATAGGAATTTGAGGGGGACACAGACATTCAGTCCATAGCACTCCCTAATACTGTCGTGTATACATCGTACGTCACATTCATAATTTTCCCCACAATCTGTCCCCTCAGGGTGGGGATGGGGCTTCGTTCCCCTCAGACCCCCACAGAGCTGACACAGTACCTTGTGCATAGAAGATGCTATTAAAGCTTGTTACAAATCTTCCTGAGCTAACATCTGTGCCAATCTTCCTCAATTTTGTATACAGAATGCTGCCACAGCATGGCTTGATGAGTGGTGTGTAGGTCCGTGCCCGGGATTTGAACCCATGAACCCTGGGCCGCTGAAGTGGAGCACAGGAACCCAACCACTACGCCACCGTGCCAACCCCTCCACAAAGTTTTTAAAGATGTTTTCTGTCGCATTCATCCCATCCTTCTCTGGTCTCCCTTTGGGCATGTGTCAACATGACATAATCCAATTCTTACTTGTTTTCTAATTGCTTCATACATGCTTATCTCTGTCTTGTGGAAAGCCCCATGTTCTGGGGCCATAGAACATGCACGCCTGTGCGCGCCATGAGTACTTGTACATTCTGGTTTCCTCTTCTCTCCTTGCCTCCCACGGCCAAGCCTCGCCCTTTCTGGAAGGAATCAAGACAGACGGAATAGTCAGCAGAGCTTCTTTCTCCATCACAGGGGCCCTGAGTTTGGGAATCAACACAGCATCCTGATCTCCCTCCGTCTCTGGGTCACTTTCAGTCACCCAGAGACACTGGGGGTGGGGCAAGTGTGAAATGAGGCTGGAAGTTCAAAGATCATTCCCGGAGGACAAACTAAGACTCACGCCATTAGCCCACCTGCAAAACGTGTAGGACAAGGGAAATCATTTTCCAAAGAATCCTCTAAAATTCAGCTCTCTTGCAGGCAGATTAGAGCATAGTCTTTTGGAAAACAGTAAGAGTCTTGGCATTTAGAACCCCAGAGATTTTACTAGACCTGGAAAGACATGACAATTGTGTTTTTCTGCTGAGGGTAATGTGACCCCGTTGATGGCGTTTAGATTACTCCCCCAGGTTCTGGCGGGCCTGATTCATCTGCGATGATACAGCAGGCTGGGGAGCTGGCGGCTTCCTAAGTTGGGCTGCCTGACAAGAGGCAGGGCTCACAGGGGAGCCAGGCGGCTAAGGAAATTTACCACGTGTTGCAGTCAGGGAAAGTGGAATTGGACCTGAGCGATAATCAGCCTGATTAGCTCAGTGCCTCCTGGAGAGACCCAAGGGTGGGGAAGCTGTGCGACGTTGGGGTGGGCGGAACAGGTTAGCCAGGATCAAGGTGGAGCCCCAGGAGCTGAGGTTTGCTAAGGTCAAGAACACCTGGGGCCCAGAGAAGTGTATGGAGCAGCAAACCCAGAGAAAACAAGTCCAACGCCCGGTCCGAAGCAGCGACCAGGCTAGTCATAGTGGGGAAATGCAGGCGTGGGTGGTGGGGAAGCCAGGAGCGAGGGCAAGGACAGCAGGTAGAGCTGGGGTGCCCATAGCACCTCCTCACTGGGTGCTGGCCAAAGAGCAGGCGCTGGCCAGGTTAGAGGCTCAAGATCCGCCATCAGCAATCCCCTCTCAGGCCCACCTTCAGAAACTCAGCCTCTGCTGGTCATGTCGGTCGTGAGCAGAGCTCAGCAGCATTGATCTTAGTGGTAGACCACAAGATTCTCATAGGGCGGCTGCAGGAACTCTGTAGTTCTGGCTTGTGAGATAAAACTGCAGCCTGCTGGTTCTGCCTCCCCCCCACCCCATTTCTATAGGACTAAAAATTTGAATCTATGGGAAAAGAGGACCCATAATGTCTGGTAAACACTGAGTGACTTTGTTCTCCACAACAGTTACGGCCATTGAAGGGCCTCTGCAGGGTGGCATCTCCAACTTCCAAAATTGTCCTGATTCCAGTTACAGCTCAGCCATTTGTGAGCAGCTGGTAAATGCCAGGCCTGAAGCCAAGAGTGGATGTGCATAAATATGTGGCTTCCCAACCTGGGCACCTCAACCCAGCCTGCCCTGGAAGGGTTATAGGTGTGCATGGAGAGGGAGCCGCTAGCCCTTGGACCAGTGGGCAGGGCTTGCCAGAGGCTGGTGCCCCACTTTCAGGTAACTTCTGGCCACCAGGCTTACCAATGCAATCATTCTCATATGTGCCAGTCATGAAACAGGTTTGAAAGCACGTCATTATTTTATTTGATCCTCCAACAACCCTATGAAGCAAGGACCCATGTCTCATTTTTACAGACGAGGAAACCAAGGAATTGAAGGATTAAATGGCTTGCCTGTGGCCACCCACCCAGAAAGAGGTAGGTTTGCACTGGGAGAGCTTAGTTTGAAAGCCCACTATGTGAACAAGCTTTTGGGAAAGCAGACTGCTCCCTCTCCAACACCAGGTCCAACACCACCAGGTCCTAGTTGCTAGCAGAGCGAGCTCTCCCTCGACACCTCCACGAGGATGGAGGTTGTCTGCCCGGGTAGGGTGGGAGCCTCTTTCAACAGCACCAGAGGTGTCTGTTTCTCTGCCATAGGGTAGACCAGATGGAAACAAAAGGGAAGACACTCCTGGGCACTCTCAGACCCAGAGCTGAGCTATGAAACCTTCCTGGGAGGGCTCAAGCCCTCAGCTGTTTCCTCCTCATCTTCCTCTCTTACTGGAATGGTGCTGTCTGCACTGCAGAGACCGTGTTGAGAATATCCAGGCCTGAGATTTGGTCTAATAAGTCAGAGATGCCTGATTTGATGCTAGAGCAGCCAAGGATTTTTGCTGTGGCTTCGCTCTTAAACCTGGAAGGCAGGCTGAGTCTAGGAACCCTTTTGGTGAGCCCTTCTCAGGAACAGCCCCACACATCTAGCAGACCCCTAAGACTCACTCACCAGGCACCAGATCAAGACCTCCTACACACCGCAAGGAGGGGGCAACCCCTAGTTTCCTAGGGCTACCATAACAAAGTACCACACACTGAGCAGCTGAGACAACAGAAATTTATTCCCTAGCAGTTCTGGAGGCTGGAAGTTCAAGATCAAGGTTTTAGCAGAGTTAGTTCCTTGTGGGGGCCGTGTGGAAGAATCTGATCCGTGCCTCTCCTCTGGCTTCTGGTGGTTTGCCGGCAATCTTTGGTGTTCCTTGGCCTGTAGATGCATCACCTCTATTTCTGACTTCATCTTTAGATGGGTTTCTCCTTGTGTGCATGTCTCTGCGCCCAAACTTCTGCTTTGTATAAGGACATCAGTCAGTGGATTAAGGTCCACTCTACTCCAGTATGACCTCATCTCAACTTAACTAATTATATCTGCAATGACTCTATTTCCAAATAAGGTCATATGTTGGGGCCACTGAAGGTGAGGACTTCAA